GTACGATGCCTTTTAATGAGCTCTGGACCCAAACTCTCCCAAGTATACATACTGAGTGACTTCTTGTAAGGCATCATTGACAATAATGATACAGTTTGATGTGAATATTTGATTCTCATCATCGTCGTCTTCTTCCCGTTTTCTCCAAAGTCCAACTTGCGTACTATGTAACTGTAGCTCAGATGGCATGGCTTCCGCTTCTTTTGCCTATGTCGCCAACAGTATAATATAATGAGCAAATAGAAGATTACTGAGCCTTGTGTCATTAATTGAACATCCTCCATTTCATTTTTCCGATTACTTACTAGAGATATGCGGTAAACAGCTTCGAAAATACTGTATCTTTTTGAGAAACTCTATGGCATCCTTGATTTCAACTGAATTTTCAAACAGCTCAATTTTAATACTGCAACTTGTGTATACTTCTTATAGAATTCCGATATAATCTCTATTCGTTGATCTTCCATCTGACGAATCTCTTCATCTTCCACTGTATCAACAACCTTTTCGTGCCCATTGCTAGTCGTTAGCTATTCATCGGTAAGCGGCGCATGGGAAGGATTAAACCATTTTTCGTTGGAAATTGATGTAAACGGTGTTTTTTCCCTCTTTTATTTAGCGTTTATGGCTGTAAAATGTCATTTCTGATGAATGAATGGACCCATAATTATTACTGCTTTGTTAATCGACAGCTTGAAGTTCTTCACCGAAATTCATGGCTACGTTACTACATTATTAGTTTTACATGCTTCCATAGTTTTCCCTTTCGCAGTTGCTTAGTTTTGTGGCTATTGGCTCGGTGCTATAATTTTATAATCGTACCTGAGGTCCTAAGATTGCTAGAGATTATGCAGCAGAGTAACTCAGATTTATGATATCTGACCATTGCAAATGGAAAAGATGATATTAAGCAAAGGTCATATTCGTCTCCGCAAACAGATTTGTCTCAATGAGGCATTTTCATGTTTTGTATTGTCTTTCAATGTGTTTGTGTTCAGTGCAACAGGGAGGTTCTTGAAATATTCTCGTTCTCCTTTTGTGCCATTTTAAAAATCCGAGCCATTCGCTGGTCTCTGGGTTCATGTGATAATTTTCTCAACGCGATGGTCTTCAGGACTTGCTCGTTCGTGACCCGGTTCTATATCATACTATCAGGATGGTGATAAGAGAGATCCTGGAAACTGTGTGAACGAGTTTCATAACGCTTTATGACAGCCGATGTTTTGAGACTGTATGGGGGCTGCATTCTGAATGGTGCTCTATATACTGTGTATATATATGTATATATTGGTATAGGTTGTAAAGTCTAAAAATCATAGAGATAGGAAGAGTTAAGTAAAATGTTATATATGATTTTCCGACAAAAATACAAACCTTTTTAGAAGGAAATTAAAACATCCTTTACGGGATGACACCGCGTATTAAGTTCAGAAACGTCACAACTTATGTACGTAGCAGTGCGCAGATGTTGTCTCAAAACTGGATCGTACAGTTCTCCAAGGAAATCTGCGATAAACTGAATTTAGCCCGAATGATAAAACGAAAGGTAAGATGAATAACTTAAAGTTTAAAAAATTAGTTTTTTCTTCTTCAGAAAATCAGTTTTCTGTTGACGACGAATGATTTATGAACCGTTTGAACTCCGACGTCTGCTAGTTACTTTTAAAGGCAAGGAAATTTTTGGAAGATTTCGGCAGCACTAGCAGAAAAAATATCTCACTTGTGCAAAGAAGCAATCACCTGTAAGTGCGTGAGTGTATTTATCAACGGAGCACGTTTGTAATCTTCGAAAGTAATTGTTCTTTGTACAGAGTTGAGTGATGGAAGATAAAAAAATATATAAATTATTCTCGACCTAAATCTTAAGTAGGTGACTTAAAATTTACCGACGTGAAAAAATGTGGCTGTTGTGTTATGCTTGCAATAATGACCACGGATAAAAGAACGAACCATTGAAAGAGATTGCTTGATGTGCCTGAAAGCGACGATAGAGAAATAGTTCTGTATGTATGACGGATGTTTGCTATATTTCATGATTTGTCCGAAGACCGTGACTTACCATGATAAACGCCATCATGATAAACGTTGCTGATATCTGACCAAGTTTGCATGATATTCACGGTGACGATTGATAATTCGTTGAATTATTAAGTGTGTCCATTCGGTTGGAAACAGTTGATTTCTTAATTAAGTTCTGAAAGTTGCATAATGCTAATGATGTTTGGACTATCTTGGAGATGTGTTCAAAATATCGGTTCGTTTGCTAGAAACAAATGGCTAGTTCATCAGTTTTTTAGGGTTAAACGTTGCGTTAATTATGGCGATTTATAGTCAGCTAGCAAGTGAATAACAGCGAAGGACAGCCAGAGGATACTCTATTATCGGGCAGCTTAGCCTTATACCTCATCTGTTGATGCATGGCAAGACCAGATTACTAAGTTAACTCTCGATGTTATCAAGTCAACAACTTGCTACCCGTTTCATGGCTAGTTGTGCCGAAGCAACGCATTATAAATTATATGCTTAGTGGTATTCCTGATTAAGGCAAAGATCGTCACTTTTCCTAAGTTCGAAATCAAACTTTATTCATTCTGCTACCGCCCTCCGGATGTGCGAAATTATTGCAATTGTTTGACATGAATATCATTTATACGTGGCAGTTAACTTGATGTTACGGTCAAAGATGAAGTTGCATTAACGTCCACTGTTCAGATAATATTCTCCAATGGCAAGGAGTGAGTTAATGCATGTTCTCGATAGTTAAGAATCGATTGTTCCAGTATTCTGGTTACTCTGTCTTGTTTCTCATTTTTCTCATGTTGAGCATTAGTGTAGCATATTGCTTGTTTCAAAATTGGGGTTTTCGTTCGGCTAGTGCAGGTATACAAACCATGCTAAAAAAGTATGTGAAGAACAATGAACGATTTTTCGCAACAGTGTATTATGTTTCTTTGTTCATATAATCTTTCCTTTCGGTGGTGTTAAAAATCACTTTAAAACGTAGTTTGAGACTTTTCACAGAGAAGCATGTCTGTAGTGATCGGACCGCCAGAAAACCATATCTGCTTTGTAATTATGAAGGTAGACGTTTGTATTATGTCACGGTACATTTTGTTTTGCTTTCTGACAGTTTTGAAAAATCGTTTCTTAACTTTCTTTTGTGTCGTGTAAATGTGTATTTTATTATATGCTTTATAAGTAATTGTTCTTTGTTGTTTTGCTGATAATGTATAATGTTATTTGCAATAAAGTTTGTCATCATCAAGTCGACAATATTATATTCTATACGGCTGGCATGTCGGATCACTTTCCTTTACGTTCATTTATGCTTATGAAATGGTAAATATGCTGTAGCTTTTGGACCTTTGCACCTTAGCCATGGACCCTACGCCTGAGCAAGTGACGGTTTTGCCAACTGTTGATGTAGGCAACCTATTGGTCGAAGATTTGATGCCTATTGATCAAGACGAATTCGAGTAAGCTGCAAACTCGTAGTGGAAAATTTTATTTTGCTTCCTTTCCTAGCGCTGATCCAGAAAAATATCTTTTGCATCGTTTCCGGAATAGTGTACAGAAGTTGGTTGATAAACTATGGCAGGTAATGTGTAAGTTCAGTTATTAGTTCCAGGCTTTTGTATCTTGTTGCTGCAGTTTGCATCTTATTTGCATGTATGAGAGGTCGTTAAACAACATAAATTCTGCTTAAGTCCACTTGGTTATTTTTATTCGTTCACTTCATATTGGTGGATGGAACAGATGCTAGAAAAGTTTACGCATAGTTGCAAAAACGCTAAAATATCCTGTTTATGATAACATCGTATTGTATGTAGCGATAATATCAACTTTCAGGAACTTGACAATCTGTAATCTTTTCAAAGCCAGATCGTTACCAAAAGCGAAAATTCTGGTCAACTTTCTTGACACTGTATTTGTCAGTTAGAGCTTATGATTCATAAAGTGTCCCTACAATTTTACGTTAAAGCACTCTATTTATTTATAAAAAAATTATTATGAACGGCGATTGTTTTATTACAGTTTATTCGCAAGTTTAAAAATTTCATTGAAATTCCTAATTAAAGGCTTATTCTATGAGCAGCGCCGAGATACGTTGTACTGTTTACTGTTTTTACTGGCGTGCCAGTGTTCATCTGTCGAGACTGGCTAACTAATGGAATCTTTCAATTCTGTACCGATGTTTAATGTATTCTATGAAAACTTGTATTAAGTGCATTAATAATATAAATTAACCCTTTTATATTGGTTTGCTACCAGTTTGCAAGTTTTCGATGCCGCTGCAAGAACAACAAGTTCCTGTCACTTCTCCGGATTCACAAGGCGCAGTGGCGCAGTTCCCCTGCTTGCCTTCTCTTAGTCCGGGGAACCGTTTAAGTAGGGCACGACTCCATGATATTTTATCACTTGCAATGCATGAGCACACAAAAGAAAGAATAAGCCGATTTTCGAACATGGTTCTCCACTGCATGCCACATCCGTCGTGAAGCATTTAATGGAAGGAATACCTATTCTCACCTCTGCTATGCGTTCATCGATTTCAGAAAGTGTTCGATTGTATCGAGCTGATTGCTTTAAAGACTGCAGTTTCAGCCGTGTCTACCTCGTTTTCATCGAGGAACTGAATGCTGATGCCCCAACGGGCATCAGACTGTTTGAGAAACCGTGTCGAATCAATATCGAAAGAGGAGTACCCCAAACCTGGTAAAAATACCAAGTTGCTGTCACTTCTCCAACGTACACCGCATGTATTATTTTTGCTGTTTAATCTATTTGTTTTGAGATTCTTTTGCAACCTGTGTAAGTATAAAGCTTTGCCTTTTAAACTGTCAAATTAGCGAAGAAGCGGCATAGATACCCACCACAGATACCCTTCACCCACCTTGCACAATGTTGTTTACATTAAGTTTACATTATAGCCTTCCAGATTTGAAGGTTTCCAGCTTCCCTCATACATCACCCGTGGAACACTGGCTCCTTCCATTGGTACACTAAAATAAACTAGAAAGCTAATTACCAATGTATTGCAGTTAATGAGTCACCAACACTGGTCAAATAGTATTCATTACGGGTGTCAGCGACGAAGCTTATAGGCCATTTTTGTTTTTGTTGAAGTAAACATATCGGTCATTTTTTGTGTATCACACCCACACCCTCATGAATAATATATTACTTCTTGGACCGCAACTCCTTGAACATCAGAAGCCATA